CTCCAGACAAGATGAGAACAGTGAAGTATCTTAGATGGTTGCTCAAAAGACCCCAGATGTTACTCACCAGAGTAAAAACGTAGAACATTTTCTTTATAAACTATATTATACCAATTTAGCCAAATGTTTCTTGAAACCATGGTCCCCACAGCCCTCAGCACAGCAATTCAGTTCCTCAGGGAGTTTGAATGTGTCTATGGAGCTTCCTTGACCTTGCCTTGTACAAGTTGTGCTGACTTCCCCAGTATTGTGTATTTGTCTTATCCTTCACCAAAGTTACCACTTATCTATTGTCTATTTAGTGTAAGAATATGGAAGCCTTCACAAATTTGTATGTCATCTGTACTCAGTGGCCATGCTAATCGTCTCTGTATTGTTCCAATTTTTGTATACGTGCTGCCGAAGTGAGCACATTTCCTGTCTTTGTAATAACCACTGGCTTTCTTCATGTATGATGTCATTGATGTCATTTCACAACTCTTCTGGTCTTCTGTCATTAGTGTTCAATGTATCAAATCTATTCTTGAGATGGTCTCTAAATGCAAGTTGGATATACTCAAGGTAATACTTTGGCTCTCATGGAATTGCTCTAATTTTCTTCAGCTTCAACTTGAACTTGTGTATGAAGAATTGATGGTCTGTTATCGTAAGACAGTAATTTTCTTTTGTCTTAAAAAAGTCCATATCTAGTTGTGAGAGGTCTTTCAAAAGCTTCCCTGGAGCTATAAGACCTCAGATGCTTGGGGCCAAGGAGGCCTGACGCTACCCTGCCTCTTTATTTTTGGCTCATGATTAGAGACAAGAATTAGTCATCCCAAATTCATTTAGGTATGCTTAGGCTGGCTTAGGTATTTTGAAAGACAAAAGATAACTAATTTTTTCCCTTTTATTATTCTCTTGGTAATCACTTTTACTTCCTCTTTATCACAACTTTTTATTTATCCAGTAAATACCAAAGATTTTTAGCAATTTTGTAAATGAATCCATCATTTCTTGGGTAGATTTTTTTTTCTCTCTCTCTAGGCCTGTCCTATGCCTCCCTTTCCCATTCTGGAATTGCTAGTTTTACATTACCTTTTTCCTTAAATAAAACATATTTCATAATATCTAGCTTAAGTTACTTAGAAAGCTTTCACTTTTTAGATTGACATAGTCTTTATCTCTTGCAAGCGTTCTACATCATAAGACAGACACAAGACACAGTTTTTCTTGGACTAGGAAAGAACTGAGGTTTTAAGACAGCCATACAAAAAACAGCAACTGTCAGCCATATCCTCTAATCAGATACAAGACACACTCAGACAGAACATTCAAGACCAGAAGCAAGCTCTCAGAACAGAACGAGACAGAAAGACCACATAAACTCACCAGTATGCAAGGTCAGCTCAAAAAACAGGCTTATACCACACAAAACAAGAATATGGGGAACCTAGTTTCTTAAAGCATATATAGCAATTTTTGATAAGATCAAATCAATTTAACAGAAAAAATAGGTTCTAGATAAAACTTATTAACTTACTAGACTCTCAGATGGAGGAATATTAGACCTTTTGAGAAAACCTGAGCATCAAAAGAAAATTCCCCAAAGAGGAAGTCCAGTTGGAAAGTACTTTAAAGTAGCTACTGATTTTAATTTTCACATTGTGATTGTTTATTGAGAAACTATATCATAAAACAGATCTGGAGGTACCACGTCCCCAGTGAATTTCATAAAACAGGTCCAGAGGTGCCACCTCCCCCTGTGAATTTCATAAAACAGGTCAAGAGCTGCTACTTCCCCCTGTGCATTTGTATCACGTGTTTTCTTGCA